CCGACCCCATGAGTCCCGTGGCAGGACCCTGCCCCGCGCTCCGTGAGCCCCGAGACAACTAAAATGCTCTACATCAGCGACCCGATGCAGCATTTCACCACGGTAGGTGCTGCTTGCTTTGCTTTGATGCTCTGCTTTGAGTCATCCTTCACTTTACCTGATCTGGCTCTGCCTGGGTGCTGGATGCTCCAGGGGATGTCCCAGTGCACTCTTGTCCCTGTCCTGCAGCTGCTGGAGGAGCTGGAGCTGCTCCATTGCAGTGTTGGTGCAGGATGCTGCAGCCTCGGCAGGCACTCACTGCTCCTCTTGCTTTGCCCCATCTGCCTCTTGCAGAGCCCAAGGTGGGATTTGAAGCTCAGGTGCTGGAGGTGCAGGGTCCCTTAGTTGTGTGTACAGGTGGGAAGGGGGATAGCCAGAGCATCCATCCATAAATTACACCCAAGGTGAGATTTAAACCTCACGTGCTGAATGTTCAGGGTCCCTTAGCTCTGTGTGTACAGGTCAGCCAGAGCATTCATCCATAAATCACACCCAAGGTATGATTTGAAGCTCAGGTGCTGTAGGTGTAGGATCCCTTAGCTCTGTGTGTACAGGTGACGTAGAGCATCCATCCATAAATCACACCCAAAGTGGGATTTAAAGCTCAAGTGCTGAATGTTCAGGGTCCCTTAGCTCTGTGTGTACAGGTCAGTGAGAGCATCCATCCATAAATCACACTCAAGGTGGGATTTAAAGCTCAAGTGCAGGGGATGCTGTATCCCTTAGCTCTGTGTGTACAGGTCAGCCTGAGTGTCCCTACAAGGAGCATCTGGAGGTGCTGGAAGCATCCAAGGAGATCTGGAGGTTCTGGACACCTCCAGCACCACATTGTCATCCCAGCTGAGCCCACACTGCTCACCTGCCTCCCCAGGCAGGTTTCCTTCCCCTGGTGGAAATCCCTGGGAGGGCAGGGCAGGTGAAGCTGTACCTGTGCTGCAGGTAATGCATTTCCAGCCCTGTGCTCAAGCACTGAGCTTGTTTCCTTAGGGAAAAGGGTTTGTGTCTGTCCCTGGGATTCAGAACTGTCCAGCACAGGCACAGAAGGAGCTGGAGATATAAGGAAATCTCTTAATTTCTGATTTTACCTTAAGTGTGTTGGTACCAAGCCTGTGTGTCCCATTGTTGGGGCTGTTCCGTGGGAGGTCGTTGCTGCAGTTGTGTGAATAATTATCCCTGTGTGTGTATGTACATATTTACACACACACACACACACACACACACACACACACACACACACACACACAAACACTCCTGCCTTCATTGTGTCTTTTAGGGGAATGTTTCCACAATTTCATCGATTTTGGGCAGCAAGTCTGTGGTTTTGCATCAATTTTGAGCAGCAAGTCTGGGGTTTCGCCTGCACACCTGACTCTGGGTCTCTCCACCAGCAGATTCCCAAAGTCTGGGGGCACTCAGGGTGCTGATTTTGCTTTGTGCTAAGGCAGCCCACCCTGTCAGAGGTGACACCCTGGGTTTCACATCTCACCATTCTTCCTGAGCTTCTTTTCTCCCACCCAGAGCTCGGGATGCTCCATTCTGTGGTGGGTCCCCATTCACCTGCCCATTCACAGCCACATGAACACTCCTGTCTCTGAGCATGGGAGCAAAAACAGCTCAGCCCTGATACTCCTGGATCAGCTGAGTATCATCCTGATACTCCTGGATGCTGCCCCGTCCAGCAGCAATCCCTTTTCCCTTGCTGCTGTTCTCCTGGTTGATCCCTTGGCTTGTCCTGTGTCACCTCAGTGTCTCTGCAGCAGCTCCATTTCCCAGTTGGATGGCAAAAGCTTTCCTAATGTGCCTTTTTTGCCAGAGTTTGTCATAAGTTTTTCCTCCAGGTGAAGCCTGGATTAAGGAGAGCTTGGCTTGTCTTTGGCTGGGCTATTTATAGAGCTGTGAGGAGGAATAGAGGGATTTAGGCGCATATTTTAGGGGAGAAAATGGCTGGATGCGTAAAAGCAAGCCAGATCTTGTTCAGCATTCCTCCACTTAGTCACAGGCTCCAACGACCTTGTGAGAGATGCAGGCAACAGGAGAACTTCCCTGGAGAAGGATGATTGCCTTTAAAACCATTCCACACCGGAGAGGGTTGGGTGAGGTTGGGATCCCAAGTTAAAACACGTTTTCCTGATTCCTGAGCCGTGAGCCTTGCAGCCCTTTGGAGAAGGCTGAGCCTGCTGGCTGTGCCCACGGCTGCTTCCACAGCTCTTGGGCTGCTCCAGAGGGTGCTGGGGACAGGGATGAGGGCAGTCCATGTGTGCTGTGTCCCTGCTGAAATGCTGGTGTGACACATGGCAATGCACCCGACACTGTGCATGGTCACCAGCACTGCCTCTGGGGCTGCAGGGTGAGAGCAATCCAGGAATTGCAGATTTACGGGGGAAAAAACCTGGGAATTGCAGACTTCTGGGGGAAAAACCCATCCCACTTCATCTGGGAAACAGTTGTATTTGAGTCTGATTTTCTAAGGAAATACTAAGATTTTTTAGCTGCAGGGCTCTTGGGAATGTCACTGTGCTTGGGCTGTGCCTTGGGTAAAGGAGCTGCCAGCTCTTATTGGAAGAATCTGACAGTAATTGATCAGAAGAGGAATACGGAAAAAATTGTAAAAAGTCATATTTTGGTCCAACTGGTCTGGAATAAGAGCCAGGACCTGCCTAAGTGTGTCCATTTGCCCTGTGACCTTGTGCAGCGCTTTGCATCGCAGCCTCCTGCTTTGTAGGTTTGAGGTTTAGCCCAAATTAGTGCTGGGAGCAGCCATCCTGCTGGAAAACAGCTACAAACCACTGCTGGGGAGTGGTGTGGGGCTGTGTGTGTGTCCTGACCAGTGAACACACCAGGGACAGGCTGGAAAAGAGGATGGAAAATGGGGAATGGCCGTGGCGATGGAGCGATGTCATGGCCAGGGATTGCTGCTCACCTTGAGGGTGGCTTCACTGAGCTGTGGCACTCTGGCTGCCGGAAGGGACAGAGGGTTGGGTGTCACTCCTCACCTTCAGCTGAACATTTCCCACATCTGAGCAAACCCCACCACATCCCTGCCCTCTCACCACTGCCATAAACGTGGCTTTCCCAAGGCCAGTGCTCCAGAAATCCGGGATTGGGGCACCTCGCTGCCTTCAGCGCGGATGGAGCAGCTCGAGGGGAGTGATTGAAGCACAAGGATTTCATCCCTCACACAAGCGGCGACCTGTCAGAAAACCCGAGCCACCCAGACCAGCTCCTTTGCCTCCCCTCCCGCAATGCTGGCCCTTTAAGGAGGCTGTAACAGGACACCCCAGCCCTGCAGAAAGGTGCCTGAGGTTTCCCCGTCTCTAAACTGGCTGGTGTTTTCTTTTTTTTTTTTCCCTCCTCCCCTTTTTCCCTTCCTCCAGTCCCAGTTCAATTTGCTCAACAACAGCATGGATCAGAGCATCGGCAGCAGAGCAGCCTCCACCAGCCCCTACAGCTCCGAGCACACCTCCAATGTCCCAACGCACTCGCCCTACTCGCAGCCCAGCTCTACCTTCGAGGCCATGTCCCCAGCGCCCGTCATCCCCTCCAACACCGACTACCCCGGTCCCCACCACTTCGAGGTGACCTTCCAGCAATCCAGCACCGCCAAATCGGCCACCTGGACTGTGAGTTTTGGGTTTTCTGCATTGGTTTGGGGAGATGCTCAGCGCGGCCGAGCGCGTCCTCATTGCACTCAGGGTGGTGGCATGGGGAGGTGACACGGGATGGAGCCACCACTGATGGTGACATCGTGGGCACAGGTGGTGACCCTGGGAAGGGAAATAGCTGGAAATATTCCTGCTTGCTTTCCAGAGGGTTTCTCCCAAAGGGGTGTGAAGGACAGCTGGGATGTCACTTCTCTCCTGGCGATTTCCTAAATTTGGGTAAATGTTCTCCATCCTGGGGAAGTACCTGCCTTGTTCTCACAGCACTTCCCAGGGTATTTCTCCCAAAGGGGAGTGAAGCACAGCTGGGATGTCACTTATCTCCTGGCGATTTCCTAAATTTGAGTAAATATTCTCTGTCCTGGGGAAATACCTGCCTTGCTCTCACGGTGTTTCCAAGGGTATTTGCCAGCGGGTGCTGTCAGTAGTGAGGCCGTGGGCGAGAGGGACCTTTGCTCGTGTCCATCCCCAGCTGTGCTGTGAATGCCATTTACAGCTGTGCCGTAAAATGTCATTTACAGTCCTTCTCCATCCTGGATTAGAGGAGTAACTTAATCCCTCCAAGTCACAGCAAATAATTGAGCGGGATTTTAAGTGCGGCAGGTTTTGATGCCCGGAGGGGTGGCTGCATAGGACGGGAGTTTTAAGGATTTTAAGGGCAGCAGGTTTTTGCTGTCCAGAGGGGTGACTGCATAGGACGGGAGTTTTAAGGATTTTAAGTGCAGCAGGTTTTGCTGCCCAGAGGGGTGGTTGCATAGGACGGGAGTTTTAAGGATTTTAAGGGCAGCAGGTTTCGATGCTTGCAGGGGTGGCTGCACAGCCCCTGCTGTCGCTTGGGATGCAGATTTGGCACCGCGGCTGCTCCTGCTGCCCGACACGGGACAGATCTGTGAGCAGGGACCCAGGAGCCGGGCAGAGCACAAAAAGCTGCTTTGCTTTTTGTGGCAAAAAAATTCTCAGCCCTGCTGCTGGCTCAGCGCGGTGTTTTTAAGGGCTTGTGACCAGTGGCACCCGTGTCAAACCCGCAGTGCCTCTGAGGGAGCTGCTGACCATGCCCCAGAGGGTTTTCTCCTCCGGGCAGCACTGGCAGAGCAGGAAGGTTGGGATGGGACGGCTGACACCCCTCAGGAACAGCAGATTTCCCTCCGGGGCTGCGGTTTGACACTGACATGGAACGGGCAGAGCAGCCCAGCGGTGTTTAAGCCCCGGCTGTGATAATGACCTTTTTTTGCGGAAGGTGACGGGTTGAATTGCCAAGAGAGTCCCTCCTGCAGGAGACAGAACGCATCTCGGATGCTGTCTTGCAGGGACACCCCGTGCAGCGGCCGATGCGATGCTCCCGGCTGTGCTGGGGAGGATGCGGGACGGGACGGGCTCCGGCAGATCCGCAGCGCTGCGGCTGTGTCCTGCCGAAACCAATGGGTGCTACAGCGAGAAAGCAGCAGCCATGGGGTGTTTGAAATCAGAATTGCCGGCTGGTGCAGTCCAGCAGCTTCCCCTGCTGCTCCACAGGACCGGGGACTCGGGACAGCGCCGTGGTTGAGCGCCCTGCCCTCTCAAGGATGGTTAAATCTCCTTTCTTTCCACTGTCTTTCCTTGCGGCATTTCATTAGGAAGTGAGTAAAGCGGAATCCTCGGGCAGGATGTGATTCCAGCCCGCTCCTGTCCCTGCTGGGGGATGGATAACTCCTGTCAGCCGCAGGTAAAGCTGCGCAGGAGCTTTCCTTTATTCCCGTCCTGTAGCTCCCAATGGAAACCGAAACCATGCATGCAGCGTGTGCTGTCCCGGCACGCAGGGATGGGGGCCAGAACGTGGCCAGTGCTCTCTTGCCACTGTCCCCAGCTAGGAGTGGGACGGTTTTGGGGTGAAGCAGAGGCAGTGCAGCAGGGCTCCTCTCCTGGAAACCATCCTGGGGTCTTTCCACAGCTCTAAAGGGAGCTCAGGCTGTCTCGCATCACCCTGTGCTGACTCTTCTGTAGCTGTGTCCCACTGGGAACTCGGCTCACCAGGACAGGATGTGGCTGTTTTTCCCAAGCCTTTGTGGGATTCAGGGCAGGCAGTGCCACACGGTGCCCTCTGAGCCTCAGGGGAACAGCCAGACCCAGGAGCTGCCCGGAGAACGGGCTTATTCCATTCCAGAGGTGGCTGGGAGCATCCATGGAGGATGCACCCACCAGCTGGGGCTGGGAGCCACCCACGGCTGCAAGGAGGGGTCCTGGAAAGGGTCCACAGTGAGGATTTGAATGCCTGAAGTGGTTTTAACACTTGTGAGGACTCTCAGAGGTGTGTGGCCCTCTGAGCCACAACGCTGGCACGGCTGCATCCCCCAGAGTAGGTTGGCAGCAGAGCCAGTGCCCACCTGCCCTGGGGCTGAGCCTGGTGGAGAGCAGCAGTGGGCTGGCAGCATCTGGAGAGCACAGGGGGTGTTTTATTTGCAGCAATGATTCCTGCAGGATTGCCAGGGGTGATGTAGCATGTCAGGCTTGCCACGGTGCCATGTGAGGAATGGTGCTGCTGGTGTCACTCCTTGTCCTCCTGGTGTCCTCCTGGCTGAAGCTGTCAGTGCTGGAAGATGAGGCCAATGCCTTCCTCCAGCTCATTGTGAGCTCTGCAGTGCCACTGCCCCACTTGAGAGTTCATCCTGGTTTAATGGGGAAAGGAGCTCAGCAAAACAAATGCGTTCTGTGTTATCAGTGAATTCAAAAATAACTCTGGATGAGCCTCCACACGAGCTAGGAACACACACCTAAGGTAAGGAAAAGCCATTGGGGAATGCAGGCACTTGGAAGGGAAGGGAAATGTCTGGTCAGCAGGGCTGGGGACAGAAAGGGACATTTGACAGAACAGTGATGGCCACACCAAGCTCAGCAGCACCAACCATCCTGGTGCTCTGATTTGGGGCAGCCCTGGGGAAGAACCAACAACCAACCCAGCCTGTTCCTCCTGGGGCAGCCTCGTGGCTTTTGGATACTCTGAGCTTTTCTGCACCCAATAATCCGTGCTAGGGTGGTTGATCAATTGCCACCAACACTGACCACAAGCTGGGCAGAGCCATCACTCTGGGCAGCATTTTGAAGCAGAGAGGGGTGTGCTGCACTGGAAGGACTCTCAGCTGAAGGTCTCCTGCAATTTGGGGTTGAATCATGGAGGATCTGGCCACAGAGGGAAGGACAGCTGGTGAGCAGGCAATGCCAAAACAAATGGTTTGTGTGAGTCATCTTGTCAAAAGTTTTGGCATTGTTTTTTGATATAGTCACAAGTTTTGGTTGATGGAGGTGTGTAGCCCAATGGCCTCCTGGTTTTGAAGGGTTTTGATTTGAATCCCTCTGGGAGATGTGGCATTAGCCATTCTCCCTCACTCAGAGCTCCTAAGGGCCAGGTGAGCTGGCCCCTGTAGAGTGCTGGACAAATAACTCGCTGAACAGGGCTGGGCAAATCAGTGTCAGTGTCCACACACGGTGCTCCTGCCCACACTTCAAGCCCTCTGTTGACAAAACAGACATGGCCTGGGAGGGAAATGTGAAGAAAATTAACAGTTTGGAACAGATGCCTTGTAGAGCAATACCACAGAAATGTTCTGCATGGAAGTTCCCCCCAAGAAGAGCAGGGGGGCTCGATCCTGGTGTGCCCAGGAGATGGTTCCTGATAGCAGCCAGCTCTTTAATCTAATAGCAAAAGACAGAATGAGATCCAGCACTTGGAAGCTGAAGCCAGGCAAATTCAGACTAGAAACAAGGAGATTTTTTTTTTTTTTTTTAGCAGTGAGGATAATTAACCATAGGAACAATTTACCAAGGAATGCGGTGGATTCTCCCAACTCCTCTAGGATTCAAATGAGGAGTCTGCATATCTCTCCAGAGATAAGATGTGCTTTAGCAGACACCCCTGACTCAATGCAGGAGGAGGAGGAGAAAGGGGTCTGAGGGTAGCAGTGGGACCAGAGCATCATCAGGGGTCTGGGGGTAACAATGTGGGGAGTGGGAGCAGAACAGCATCAGGGGTTTGGGGTTAACAGTGTGAGCAGTGAGACCAGAACATCGTCAGCAGCTCTCTCTTCAAAATGCTTCAAAATACTGATTTTCTAATTTTGAAAAAGAGGTGAATGGAGAAGGGTGAAGCCTCGGGACTGGCATTACCCATCTCTGTCCTGGCAGAATTACTCTGGGTGACGTTGGTGTCCCGATCCACAGGCTGAGCTCTGCCCATCCCTGGACAGCAGCATCCGCGCCCGCCCATCCTGCGGGAAGCCCTCCAATCTGCTCCCACCTCCCTTTTCATTTTTAATGGCCTTCTTATCACAGGGAGCAGCGGCCAGATGCCGAAAATAAGCTTTTCCCTGCGGTTGGAAGCCCCCCTCGGGCAGGCAGAGCCCGGGGAGCTGCGCACGGCAAGCCGGGGCACGCCGGCATCCTGCCCGGCCCCGGCGGCTCCGCTGCCCGGACACGCTGCAGCCGCAGCAGCCCAGCGCCGTGGGTTTCTCGCCGCAGCCCCTCGCCACGCCAGCCAGCTGGTAACTGACGGATAATTAGGATTTTTCTCAAGTCGGCTTGGCGGCGGAGCGCTGTTCGCATGTGCCAGAGATGAGGAGGTGTTAATGGGGTCTTTGGCTTCCCGCGGCCGGGCTGCAAAGGGACGTGGGGGCTCGACTCGGAGACCCTGGAGCCGGGGGGAGATGGACAAACCCCCGAGCAGGCAGGCAGGGGGGGTCTCTGATACATCCATAGAACTACACCCGGGGTTGTCTTGTTGCTGTTTTGGGGAGCAAAGAGCCTGCGAGGGGAAGGCTGGACAGGAGGAGAATGCATCTCAATCCACGCATTCTCCAAAGCCTTGCTCTTCCTATGCTCAGGCTCCATCATTCACAGCCTAAATGGTGAACAAGACATCTGAAAAATAGGAGGAATCCAAAAGATATTACCCACAGCCACTGCGTGCCTCACCATTGGCAGCCTCACCCTTA